GAAACCCAGATACCCTGAGAAACGCATGGTCATTCTGAACAAAGGGAAGGTGCCTGGAAAGGGGGCTTGGTGGTGCAGCCCTCTTCCCAAACTGAGAGGAGTTATACTTCACCCACCATGTCCTTCAAGGGTCTGAGAAGGCAGCTGCTTGAGTCCCCAGAAGAAAACAGACATGCCCCCTGGAGTCCTAGCCATGAGTCCACAGAAGTTTCCACAGCAGCAGAAGGGGGCTGTGACGCGTGGGCCCAGCAGGGCTACTGAGCACCTGCCACGGCACAGATGTGGCTATGGGGCCGCACGTGGGCTCACCTGGCTCTCATGAACCCGCCCCCGCCGTGGCTACTGACCCCGGTGTGGAGGTAGCCTCGGCTCAGACAGCCCTGCGAACCCCTGCCCCAAAGGTGTCTCCTGAGTTAGGTCTCCCTGCTGTGTCTGCCACCACATCTGTCCCCTCACAGACACAGGCCAGTGGCTGATCTGGTGCTAATTTATGCTAACTGCCCCGGATGCAGTGCATCAGAGCACAGGGGTCTCTGCCACCCAGAAAGGGAGTGAGGATGTGACGGTTTCTTGGTCCTAACAACTGGAAAAACACAATAGATTTTAGCAAGAGAGGGAGAAGGCAGGTTTCTTGGAGGAGGATCTTGAGGTCACACGAACCCTAATCAGAGGAGTGGCATGCTCTTGCTGACCATGAACCTCACTCCAGAACTCACAGCTGGTCCTTTCCTTGTCGCAGCCGCACGGAGCTGACTGCTTAGACGCGCTACTGCCCTGACAAGCGGGACGAGAAAACAGATCCTGAGATCACTGAATTGCTTGCTTCTGGCTTCAGACAAAAGCACAAACCTGAGCTGGAAGACCACGCATGGGCACGGCTGACCAGGAAGGCGTGGCCTCTCGGGACGCCGAGGGTGGCCCCGCTGCGAGGCGGCTGCGTCCAGCTGGCTAAGAAGTTGGTGAGGGACATGGGCCCACGACAAATGAATAGCTTCACTTGCAATTTCAAATTTAGCTTGCTTTCTCACTACGTTTTCAGGTAACCAGGAATCAGGGAAAAGTCTGTATTTACCCTCCTCTTAATAAACTGCGATAATCTTCCTTTCGTTGAGTTGATGCAACCTCTGACATCGGGCCCCTCTTGCCTGAAGACCCCGTCAGCACTCCGGGAAGACCACCGAGGAGAGCCTGGCGTGCCTTCTCAGGGAAGGCGTTGTGCTGGCTGACCGAGGAGTCTTCCCTCCGCTCTGGTGCCGAGGGGCTGCCGGCTGCAGGGAAGATTTTCTCATCCTGCTGGTTTTCACCCCTTTGACATATATAGGAGGGTATGGGATGGTCTCTAAAATTCCTGGATCTGTGGCATGTACCTTTCATTTTTAGAAAGTTCTTGGCTTTTATTCCTTTAAACGTTCTTCTGCCTGTCATCTGTCTCTCCTCCAGTCTCCGATGCTCCCCTCTTTCCTTTCCCGACTCCATGTCGCGGCGGGCACCTCCAGGCTGTCTGTTTGCCTGGCTGCAGGCCCAGCAAGGATGCCCTGCTCGCAGTGCCTCCTTCTGGCCCATCTTTCTAGCTTCTCTGTGGGCTGGGACCCCTGACAGACCCCTTCCTGTATTTCAGAGCCCTTACCTGATGGTTCCAACATCGGGGTCACCCCCATTGACTGCTGCATCTCTTGACAATCCACTGTCAGCAGGTACATTTTTTTTCTTGGGTGTATGTCTAGAATTTTTTATGTCAAACATTGTGTACAAAAACAGTAGTTCATGAAGGGACATAACCACCCAGAAACGAGCAATTGCAGTGAGGCTGCAGTCAGGTGGGATGGGGTGCTGGGAATGGGGCCATAACGGCCAAAACAGGCTGTGCTTGGGTTTGTGGCTGCCATCAGTGCCCTCCGTGACCGTGACCACAGGCTGCTACTGCCTCCAGCATGGGGCCTGGGAGCAGGCTCTCTCACCGTCGCACCCCTGCCTGCCCACCCGCCTGCCTTCCTGCCCTCCTGCCTGTGGGCCGCCGTGTCAGCACAGGGTGGGAGAAGGTGCTCTCAGCCCCTGGCCCAGCTTCACCCGCAGCCTTGGGGTGGCCCTTCCTAGCACTCCTGCCGACCCCCTTCGCCCCACTCGGCAACAGCCCAGGCTGTGTGGATACACAATCGGGGGCCCTTGTCTGGGACACAGCCTCTGCTTCTTCCTGAGTGGCTCCCGGCTTCTGCTCCTTGTATGAGCGGGGAGCGGGGTCTGTGGGCAGTCACTCCCCTCCTGCCCGTGCCCCCAGGGAGACCCTCCTGGCCTCCTGCCCTGCCCCAGGACTTCTCAAACAGGGAGACCAGCAGACCAGAGGCGGAGCTGCCGCATCTGGGACAGTTGTTGGGGGGCCTCTCCTTGCCCTCTCGCCCCCAGGGCTTGGCCCAATGTGAAAGGTGAAACCAGTCACGGCCCCACCCTCCTGAGCCAGTGCTGGGCATTCTGACCCTGCGGCTGCTCCACAGACTCGCTGGGGTCCTGACATCACTCTGCCCCTGCTCTCTGTCGGATGGGAGAGCAACCCCACGTGACGGGATCCCTTCTCAGTGTCAGCCTTGCTGATGGCCAGGACGTGGCTGCTGGGCCTTGCAGTGTCCCCCGTGCACGTGACAGGACACGTTACCGGTTACCTGGGTGAGCCGCTCGTTACCACCTCCTGAGCCAGGGGCCAGGCGGCGCCGCTCAGGCCATCCTCGCCTGTCCCCCTTCTCCGTCCTGCTGCTTTACCCCTGGGGGTCGGTGCTCCTACCCCTACCGGGAACTGCCGGTCCCCTCTAATTCCTCCACTCTCTCCCGTCACGGGCTCTCAGCTCGGAGTGTCTTCCTGACGCAAGCCTCTGGACACGTCCCGGTGGTGCTGGGTCCTCAGCTCCGTCTGCCGGCAGACGCTCTTCTAGTGATTGCTCGAGGGACTACAGTGCACGTGCTCAGCCTTCCGTAACTCTCCTTCCCATTGTGCAGCCTCGCAGGAAGCCTGGGTGGCCTCGGTTTCAGCTCAGGCCCCGGTCTCAGGGTCGTGGGATCAAGCCCTGTGTCAGGCTCTGCGCTCAGTCCCAAGTCTGCTAAGTGTCTCTCTCCCTCTGCCCCTCCCTGCCTGCATGCGCAATCTCTCAAATAATAAATAAATCTTTAAAGAAAAAAAAAGGCAGGGGGAGCCTGGGTGGCGCAGTTGTTTGACCATCTGACTCTTGATCTTGGCTCAAGTTGTGATCTCAGGGTCCTGAGGTTGAGCCCTGTATCAGGCTCCGTGCTAGAGGGGAGTCTGCTTCAGGATTCCCTCTCTCCCACTGCCCCTCCCCGCCCTGCACTCGTGCACACACACTGTCTCTCTCATATAAATAAATAATATATTTTTAAAAAGTTGTGCAGCTTCACATAAGGCATGGAAACCCGCAACCATGTGGGCCCACCCGCCGTGCTCCCTCAGTCTGTCAGGTGTGTCTGATCTGGGAGCACCATGAATCTCAGAGGGCAAACAACCTATTTCACTTTAAACGATCAGGTGTACTGTCAAGAAAGTAAAGAGGAGGAATGGAGGCTTCCACGCTGACCTGCAGATTCCCGCTCTCCGAGCTCAGCACTCCTGCCGGAAGCCCGGCTTTCCCTCCCATCCCTCCCGTGTGGCCTGGAGCTCAGCACTGGTGCCCCAAGCCTCTGGACACTGAGTTCTCTCACTCCCCTGAATCTGAAGCCTCCATCCCCACACAGGGTCCAGGTTCCCATGTCAGCACCGAGGTGCACGGGCCCACTGCTCCTGAGCACTCAGGGCCATGTCCCTGTTTTCTCCTACTGCTTTCAAAATGCTCCCTTTCCCCTGGGTTTTCAGCAGCATGTGGACGACCTGGGAGGCACAGCCTCTTCCCGTTCATGCTGTGCGAGGTTCACTGGGCTATCTGGGTCTGACATCTGTGTCTTGTACCACATCTGGAAACTTCAGCCACCTGTCCCCTCTCCCCAGGGCTCCATACACATGCCACCAACCTCTGAGCTCTCCCCACGGGCGCCTGAACTCTGCGTGGCCTGGGTGGCCTCCAAGACCCCCTCCATCCCCCACTGTCACCCCCACCCTGCCGGCCAGCCCATCCAGGGAGTCTTTCATTTCAAATGCTGTATTTTCCACTTGGTTCTTTTCTCATCTTATCAGTTTCTCTCCTGAGAGCTCGTTTTCATTCATTAGGGCCTCATGCCCAGTCACGCAAGCTGTGCTAGACCCTGGGGACTCCTCGTGTGGTTGGGGAGTCTGCCTGGGTACCAGGGGTGTTGGGCTGTGGGGCATGTGGGTTGTCATGACACCAGGAGCAAGCAGTCGTCTCTGTGGTATCAGCATGTAGGTGGTTTGACCCAAAGGGAAGCTGTGCCGTGCCCAGCCCTGTCCACTTGGGGGCTGTCCTCTGCTCACCCCCGCCACAGCCTCGTGCCCACTGCCCACTCGTTTCTGAACAAACCCTACTCCACATGGTCATTCTGGGTGCACCATTCCCCACAGAGCACAGGCTGGGGGAAGCTGAAGTCCTCCCCTTACCAAACCAACCAGGAACCTGACCGCCTCTGGGCTGTCCGCCAGTGTTAGCCCCGGGCGAGCCCCTCCACAGCGTGTGGAACTTGGCACGGCCTAGAGTGGGGAGGGGCTGGCCTGCAGGATGGCCTGCCCTTCACCCAAGGCACAGAACTGGTCCATGACAACACTGTGTGGTCACTGCTGTGGGACTATTCATCGCAGCTGTGTGGAGACTACCATCTACACAAACACACCTGAACATCACCAGTCTCCTTGTCTGCACTGGTCCACCACTCTGGGCAAGGAAGCCAGCGTGGGCCACAATTCCAGGTTAAATAACAGACATCAGACAACACGGTCACACCTGCTAAGCTGATGACAGCGGCTCAGGCAAGGAGAAAAGCAGAAAAAGCGCATGAATACATACCCCACATACAATGCTAAACTCCCACGGAGTATGTTTCTGATTTTCACTTACCAAATGAATACCTAAAAAACAAAAGGAGAAAAATGTATTAAAATTTTGCCTTGCTGGGGTGCCTGGGTGGCTCAGTTGGTTACGTGTCTGCCTTCAGCTCAGGTCATGATCCCAGGGTCCTAGGATCGAGCCCCATGTCGGGCTCCCTGCTCAGTGGTGAGTCTGCTTCTCCCTCTGCCTCTGCCCCTCCCCCGATCGTGCTTGCTCTCTCTCTCTCTCTGTCAAATAAATAAATAAAATCTTAAAAAAATTTTTTTTGCCTTGCTTTGTCAAAAAATTTACAAGATTAAAGTATCATGCTACCCAACTAGGTAAAGCCCAACTCAGTGACTCCAGGACACTGTGGGTCAGGTCACAGACCCCATGGACATTAAATGCGGTGGGAGAAGGTGGGGCGGGGGAGACCTGCCCTCAGGTGCTCTGTGCGGGGCCCAGCCACTGCCCAGGCCCCATCCGACACAGGGGTCTAAGGCCATGCCCACAACAGGCCAATCAAGAAATCTTTTAGGAAAAAGCAAACATAACAGTGGATATTTGGTGGTAAATCATTTCTGCAAGTAATCGAACACCATGAAAATGTCCTACCCTAGAATTTGAAAGTTTCAAGGATACCCACTACCCCGAGCACAGATGATCACAAAGGGGACCCTAAATGGAAGGCATTTGGTCTCCACAGCAGGGGGAGGAAGGGCTGTCTTCACCGTGGAGTGCGATGGGAGCAAGGGGTCCTCAGCAGCACACAGGCGCCTGGTGCGCAAGGCCACTGCTCCCACAGAACTGAAACGGCCCCACTCTGCTCCCTGAACCTCGTGGAACCGCAGCAGGAGTTATTTCTATGCATCAACTCCACCGTCAGTTGATACTCAGTGACACAACATCTGGGCTCTGGGCAAGGTTCAAGGCAGAGCTCTGGGTGGCAGGGCTGCGGGCTGGGGCTGGGTGGTGGTGCGGGGCCTCACGGAGTGCTGTTGAGTTTAACACAAAATGAGGTTTTCACAGTCAGAGGGAGCAGCCATGCAGCGCATCCCGTGGCACTGACCCTGACCCCTGCGCCCCCCACGGCCCTCTGGCATCTGCTCTTCACACTCTTTGAAGTACAGGCTCTGTCCTCTCTCACCAGGGACGTGGCAAAGGCGGCTTCCTCCACAGGAAGGGACCCCCTGAGCCTCCCCAACCTTGGTCCAAGTTTCTGGAGATAATCCTTTCTTCTTTTGGGGGGCCAGGAAGGTGGGGAAGAGAAAAGACAGTCACACAGCCGTCCTCGCTAGCAACAAAGGAGCCCTTTAGGAGCACTGCCAAAGTAAAGCACAGATAAAAGGATCAGAAAGCCAACGTTTTGGAAAACTGATGCTAAGTGGGGCGGTTGGAGCAAAGTCAGTTAGAGGTTCCAGTGTTCAACCAGGTTCCCCCGTTGGGAGACGTTCAGAGCGGTGCAGCAAGACTCTTCTGTAAACTCACTCAAAATTCCTGCGGCTGTGGCTACTGACTCTGCCTCTCTCTTCCAATGTCACGGGTCCCCAGGGCAGTTAAGGCCCTAGAGCAAGAGGACAGACACCCGAAGCCCCACAGTGACACAATCAGTGACTGAATGGATAAACACACAGGGCCAGGGGACCCGACTCCCCTGCAGAAGAGTCCCAGTCCCCAGCGCCCCGCCCCGACGCGTGGCAGCCGGGACCTGGGCCGGGAGAGGAGGGGCAGCTGCAGCCAGATGAGTCACGTCGACGGCACTGACCCCGACATGCCGCACCACGTGGAGGAGGACGCGTGGTCTCCATGGCCTTCTCCCCAAACCCACAACCCAGTCCAGTCATGAGAAGAGCATCAACCAAGGCCCAGTGGAGGGACGTTCCACAGCATCCCTGACCAGTCCTCAAAGCCGGGGAGTCAGAGACACTGTCCCAGCTCAGAGGAGCCCCAGGGGACGTGATGCCCAAATGTCCTGTGGCTCCTGGAGGGGATCCAGGGACAGAAGAGGTCAGTGTTAGCTCTTTAAACCTGACAAGGAGGAGGCTGACAATACACGAAGCTGGGTGGGGGTACACAGGAATTCTCTGTACTGTCTCTGCAATAATTCTGTAAGCCTACAACTATTCCAAAAATGAATTTTATTCAATTAAAAGGAAAAGGGGAAGCAGCTACACAGCAACAAAATCTGTGCCTGTGGAGAGAAGTGCCTCCAACGCTGCTGGGTCCTCACCAGCAGCGTTTGGCGCCCGTGCAGGCTGGGCCACCGGAGGGACTTGCTAGCCCCAGCAGGACCACACAGCTTCCTTCCACTGAACGAAACCTCTGGGCAACGTGAACAGCAGACAAACTCAAGTTCTCAGCAAGAACAACACATGCGCACGGTGCGCTCAGACGTGCCTACCACGGCCCACTGCGTCTGAGGACCAGGGACGCATCAGCTGGGCAGTGGGGGGCTGCCTGCCAGCCGTGTGCCCCGGCCGCCTCATCCCAGGCCCCTTCTTGCTCCATGCAGTCCCCAAGGTGCCGCCTCCCTGTCTCACCCGACAGATGATGCTGCGCCCCTTCCAACAAGGCTTCCCTTGTTAATTAAGCAAGTGGAACCACCTGCAGTCATCTCTCCGCCCCCTCACTACACAGCCTCAGGTATGGGACACCCTTGTGCCGCTCCTGTCCCCCCAGAGCACCAGGAAATGAAAACCTGTTCTAACTACACTTGACAGCTGATGATGCAAAGGGGGCAACTGCGAAGTGGGAACCCCCAAGGCCCCTCAGCAGCCCCGCATGGGCTTGCCCTGCATCGGCGCCCTGACTGCTGGCTTGCAGCTGCCTCCAGGAAGAAGCCCTGAAGGGACATGGAGCGTCCGGTGCCAAGCGTCGTTCATATTTCCTGTCCACTCAGCTTTCGTGCATGAGCAAGGCCTGCCTGGCATCTGCTGCGTCCCTCCCTCAGCCAAGACAGAGCAAAGCCTGAGCCTAAGATGATGCCACAAAGGAAATGACCTTGCTCCTGCCTCACCCTCCTGCACACCAGCACAGCCCCAAGGCAGTCCCAGGACTTGTGCCCCTGCCCCTAGCTACTTCCTGCAGCACCCGGGATGCTCTCCTGGGGCCACTCTCCTGGGGACGCTCTCCTGGGGCGTGGGGTTCCCGTTCCCTAACAGGGGCCACAAGTACCGGCCTCCAGGGCCTGAGAGACCGCTATCATGCCTGCCCTGGTCTTCAACACGAGGCTGGCGAGGAGGGCGGTAGCCAGAGCACACGGAGAAATCATGATTCATCACCTTAGATTTGCCCAGAATATGAAAACAGTATGTCTTAATTGCCCATAACTGGAACGGCAGAAACCCAAAATGAAGTTGGCACGTGCCCTTGACAAAACACAATGCCGTGTGGGAAACAGAGCTGAAAGCTGTCAGGAACATGGGGCCACACCGGGTGCTGACAGCAGAGGAAGGTTCTGGAAACACTTTGTGGGTAAAATCAGGAGGATGTGAAGTCTGGTGAAACATGGAGGAAGCGGGGAGAGTCGGCGTCCCAGGTTCCCCTGGGTCCCATTGATGACTGTGGAACTGCGGCACAGGGGTTCGTGGGGCAGAAGGGGGTGGCCTCGGGGTGGCTGAGCATGCAGCATGGCAGCGCTCCCTCACAGCCCATGGCTGCCCTGTGCCCAGCCACAGGCCGCACTGCTGCCGGCCCTGCAGCTCTGGGACAGGGCCCACCGGGGTGCAGCTTCCTGGGGCACGGCCCCCAGCTAGCCCCCGGCCTCAGTGCCTCATTCCTACCTGCGTGCCCCCAGGCTCCCTCCAGCTGTGCCTCCTGCAGCCACAACAAGGACTTCATAAAATCAGCACAAACCCCCCCTCCCCGATTCCGAGGGCTTGGGTCATCACTCTACAGAGTGCTCACTGCCTGGAGGGGAGCCACTTTCCCACGGCCACCATGAAGTGGATTCGTGAGCTCCTGCCTGCCATGCAGTGTCAGGAATGAGTCAGGAGAGCAGGCGAAGGGTGGTCATGGTTCCGGAAGGTACAGGGTGCAGTGTAAGGCTACGTGGCTCTGCCCCACGACATCTGCCTTAGAGACTCACTGTGCCACTGAGCGTGAGGTTCACCTGCCTCCCTTGGCAGCAACGCAGGCTTCCCACGTGCCCTGGAGCATGCGTGTGAGATGCCGGGACTGGGGCAGGGGCACCAGTCTGAGCCTGGAGGAAGCTGAGCGGATGCCCACCAGAGGGACAGGACAGACAGAGGGCCTAGTGAAGCAACAGCCACCGTGCACACATGGCAAAGGTGGGCAGACGCAGGGCCGGCAGCGCGGGACCCCAAAGCAAGGCTGCAGTGCCTCGGAGAAGCGCCGTGTGTGCCTGTCCAGTGCGTCCTTGCCCCATGGGGACTTCCTGTCCCTGCCACGGGATGCCACCTGGACAGCACCTGAAAGACATTCTGTCAACAGTATCCATTATCTGAGCGTCTCGCCCCAAACAAATATTCTTTTCTCTCAACTTTAAATAAATGGGACATGCAAGGAACAGTCTGTGTCTAACTCTCATTTTGGGGTGCCAGGAAAAAGAAAGCCTGTTGTCCATGTGAGGGGTCCTCACTTGGTAAGTTTTCAATGTCACTCTGACCCCAAAACTCTCGTCCGTCAGGGAAACCTGCATCAAGGGTGGGGCTGGAAAGATCGTGGAGGATTTTGGTCGACTGGCAACTAGCAGACTCTACTACTGCCTAATTGAAATGGCGATGTTCTTCTGAACTAACGTAAGAAGCAAGCTTGCTCCATCTCCCCAGCTGCCCGGAGGCTATGGTTGTTCTGCGGCCTGTGACGTGCCCAGGCCACGGAATCACAGCACGCCTGGACTCCAGGACTCTACTTCTTCCTGCTTACCAGATCTGTCCCACGTTGACCAGGGACATGTAGAGAACCCAGAGAGTGGCCATGAGCACTATATTGGCACAGCCGGTGACCAGGACGAAAGAAGAGACGCCCAGCCCGAGAAGTGCGAGGGCGTCCAGGTTGGAGTCCATGTGTGACCAGTCCAGCAGCCAGAGCACGGTGGGTGCGTAGCTCACGGCATCCCAGCTGACCGGGCCCCGGAAATACTGCTGTACATTCTTCAGGTACGTGCGGCAGGGCAGCAGGCCCCGGTCTCCAATCAGCTGCTTGTTCTGATGGAAAGCCACCAGGAATGCCACAACTGGAAGAAAAAGACCAAAGGACCATGAGCAGGAACACAGCCGTCTGTGGACACCTGCAGGTGGGGCCTTGGCTGGGCGAGAAGATGAGGGGGCATCTGAGCCATGGTTTGGAATCAAAGCAGGGACACAAGAGGTCCAACTTCTAAAATCTCGGGGGAAATACTGGAAGACCCAATCTGGAGACGCTAGGCTGTGTGCGCACACGTATACAAACCTACATGGGTTGTGTCTACTTACATGTGTCGTGTATGTGTAGGTGAGACAGATGCTGGTGTCACACGTATGTGCAATTACAGGTGAACAGCCAGGTAAGGACCCCCGACTGCACTCAGCCTTTGTCATGATAACACACGTCTGGACGGCCCATGAGGCTGGTCCGCGGTGCCCCTCCCAGACGGGCTACAGCTCACGTGCAAGTCACGACCACGTGCACTCAAACCACTGGTTTCCTTCAAGTCCCACCCCTGCAAGAGCAAGCTGGCATTCTCTAGACTTGAGAGTTTGCACAGAAGTGTGTGCACGGGGATGCTACAGGAGAGGAGAGAGGGCACAGCATTCCCATCTGCGAACGTGAAGAGCAGGGAAACTCAAGGCCCACCAAGGGGAAAGAGCCAGGCAAAAGGCCGTCTCAGGGGCCAGGGACACCTGCCCGGACGCCCTGCGGGAGCACGCGCACTGACGGACCCAGCTGCACACCCGCAGTCAGCTGCATCACGGGGCAGGGATGGGGTGGAGGTAGAGGAGGGAGCATGGCGGTGGTTCAGTTTCTAGTTCCACATACACTGGTTTAGGCTCCTGGTGTAATGTTCACTGTTGGAAATGTGTGCGACCCTTCATCTAAAGCAAAACCGGCCAGAATCAGCTAAAGTATATGAAGGAAAGTATATGAGAAAACAGCACCAAGGCCGGAGGGAGATGTTGGAACACACTCTTAGAAGGACTGGACGCCACACAGGAAGTGGGGTACTATTACACAGAGGGAGGCACACATTAATTTAAACTGTTTATTGCAAGTCCTATGGGAGAGCAAATAAAAATTTAAACAATTCTAAGTAATTAATAGAGATACCAAAATGGAATTATAGAAGATGCTAAACTAACCAAAGAGAAGGCAGGAAAAGAGAAAAAAAAGAACAGAAAGAACAAATAGAAAACAACTAGCAATACAATAGATTTTATTTTATTTTTATTTTTTTAAAGATTTTATTTATTTATTCATGAGAGACAGAGAGAGAGAGAGAGGCAGAGGGAGAAGCAGGCCCCCAAGGAGCAGGGAGCCCGATGTGGGACTCGATCCCAGGACCCTGGGATCATGACCTGAGCCGAAGGCAGACGCTTAACCATCTGAGCCACCCAGGCGCCCAATACAATAGATTTTAATCTGTTGCTTTAAATGAGATTGTTCTAAACCCACCAGTAAAGACAGAAATTGTCAGACTGGATAAAAAAGCAGGACTCAGAGGCGCCTGGGTGGCTCAGTCAATTTAGCGTCTGCCTTTGGCTCAGGTCATGATCCCAGGGTTCTGGGATGGAGTCCCACGTCGGGCTCCCTGCTCAGCCGATAGTCTGCTTCTTCCTCTCCCTCTGCCCCTGCTCATGCTCTCTCTCTCTCGTTCACTCTCTCTCAAATTAAAAAAAAAAAGGACTCAAATCTATGCTGTCTACAAGAAACGCATTTAAAATATAAACACATTAAGTAAATTAAAAGCATGGAAAAAGATACATCATACAAATGTTAATCAAAGAAAGTTGACGGCTATATGAATATCAGACAAAAGAGACATAAAAACAAGAACAGTATGAGGGATAAAAAAGGATATTACGTAATGATAAGGAATTAACAAACAGACATAATAATATTAAATGCTCATGAATCTAGCAACAAAACTTATGTATATTTAAATCACCTCACCTAATACATATATGTATATATCCTATATGTATGTTAATTGACTTGACCTAACACTTCTAGATTGCCATCTAGCATAAAAGAGCAAGATACAACAATGCGACATCCTTAGAACACTCTACCCAACAGCAAAATAGATAAAATTTTCAACTATATGTGGGACATTCGCTAGGACGCTCCATGCTGTGAGCCATACAGCAAATATCAACATATAGAAAAGAACTGGAATCTAAAAAAAGTGTGCCCTGAACAAAGAGAATTAACCTAGCAATCAGTCACAGGACGTTATCTGGAAACACCCAAAGCTTTGGAGATTACACCACACACTCCTAAATAAACCATAGTTCTTTTGTTTTTGTTTTTTAAAGCACAACAAGGGGTGCCTGGGTGGCTCAGTCAGTTAAGCGTCTGCCTTCAGCTCAGGTCATGATCTCCAGGTCCTGGGATTGAGTCCCGTGTAGTGTCGGGCTCCCTGCTCAGCAGGAAGTCCGCTTCTCCCTCTGCCCCTCCCCCTGCTTGTGCACATTCTCTCCCTCTCTCAAATAAATAAAATCTTTTTTTTTAAAGATTTTATTTATTTATTTGACAGAAAGAAATATAGCGAGAGAGGGAACACAAGCGGGGTAAGTGGGAGAGGGAGAAGCAGGCTTCCTGCGGAGCAGGGAGCCCGACGCGGGGCTCGATCTCAGGACCCTGGGAAAATGACCCGAGCCAAAGGCAGACGCTTAACGACGAACCACCCAGGCGCCCCTCAAATAAATAAAATCTTAAAAAAAAATAAAGCACAAGCAAAATATAAGATTTTTTTAAATGAATGAAAATTGAAAACACAATATATCAAAATTGCAGGATGCTGTTGAAGCAGCACTTAAAGGGAAATTTACAGTAAAGTGCTCATGTTAGAAAGATAGAAAGGGCTCAAGTCTAAATTTCTGCTTTAAGAAATCAGAAAAAAATAGCAATGATACACAAAGTAAGGAGGAGGAAAGAAACCTTTAAAAACTTAAGAGTAGAAATCAATGAAATTGAAAACAAGAAAAAAATAGAGAAAATCAAGAAAACCAAAAGTTGGTTCTTCAAAAAGATAACTGATAGACCTCTAGCCAGACTAATCAAGAAGAAGAGAGAAGCAGTATCAAGAACAGAGAAGGGAGCATTTGCTACTAGTTCCACAGACATTAAAAAGATCATAAAGGAATACCACAAATTGCTAGAAGATCAGCAACTCAGATGAAACAGACAAATTACTTAAAAGACACAAACTACCAAAACTCACAAAAGAAGAAATACAGGTAATAAATCACAACCAACTGCATTCCAGAAATGCAAGGCTAGTTCAACACTCACAAATCAATGGGATTCACCATATTACCAGATTAAGTAAGAAAAACCATACGATAATATCAACAGACACGTGAAAAAGCAGTGACAAAATTCAGCAGGTGCTCATGATAAAAACTTTCAGCACATTGGGAACAGAAGGGAACTTCATCAGCCCAGAAGGGGGGCTAAGTCCACCGACAGCCAACACCAGACTTCACGGCCAGCACTTCAGTCCTTTCCCCTGAGATCTGGAACAAAACGAGGACATCTCACCACCCTACTGAACAGTGTATGGGAAGTCCTAGCTCATACGGTGAGGCCAGCAAAAGAGGTAAAAGGCATATAGCCTGGAAAGAAATAAAGAAAACTGTCTTTATTAACAGATGATATGATAGTCTGTGTAGAAAATCTCAAAAAATATACCAAAAAACCCCTCTTGGATCTAATAAATGAGTTTATCAAAGTCACAGAATATAAGATTGATACTTAAAAGTCAACTGTATTCATATATATCAGCAATGAACTGTAATCTGAATTTTTTAATTATAATAAATAGCAACCCCCAAAAATACATAGATAAAACTCTAACAAAATACATGTAGAATCTGTATGTGGAAAACATAAAAACACTGACAAAAGGAACCAAAGAAGGTCTAAATAAGTGGAGAGATACATCATGTTTGTGGACTGGAAGATGCAGCATCACAAAGATGTCAATTCTCTCCAATCTACAGATACAATGCAATCTCCATCAAAATATCCAGTACGCTTTTCTGTTGATATTGACAAGCTGATTCTACAGTGAATACGGAAAAGCCAAGGAACTAGAAAGGCCAAAATAATTCTGAGGAAGAACAAAGTTGGAGGACTTGTATCGCCCAATTTCGAGAGTGACTACAAAGCTACAGCAATCAAGACAGTGTGGTTCCCGGGGCGCCTGGGTGGCTCAGTCGTTAAGCGTCTGCCTTCGGCTCAAGTCATGATCCCAGGGTCCTGGGATCAAGCCCTGCATCGGGCTCCCCGCTCGGTGGCAAGCCTGCTTCTCCCTCTCCCACACCCCTGCTTGTGTTCCTGCTCTCGCTAACTCTCTCTCTCTGTCAAATAAATAAATAAAATCTTTAAAAAAAAAAAAAAAGACAGTGTGGTTCTGGCAAAAGGAGGGACCCGGACGTCATGGAACAGGACTCAGAGCCCAGGAATCGACCCACACAAATACAGCCCACTGATCTCCGACAAAGGTGCAAAGACAGTTTAGTGGAGAAAGATGGTCTTTTCAACCAGTGGCATGGAGCAAGTGGATGACCATATGCAAACAGATGAGCCCAGACACATGCCTCACACCTTACACCAAAATTTACTCACAAAGGACCGTAGACCTCATGGTGAAGTGTAAAAGTAGAGAACTTCTACAAGAAAATCTGTAGCTTGGGGGTGGCGATGAGTTTTCAGACACAACACCAGAAGCGTGACCCAAGAAAGAAAAAAAACAGATAAACTGTACTTTATCAGATGAAAAGCTCCCACTCTATAAATGACACTTGTAAGAGAATGAAAGGACAAGCCACAGATTGGGAGAAAACATTTACAAACCACACAAAGGACCTGATAAAGGACTTGTATCCAGAACATTTAAAGTACCACAATATCCTGCATCCAGAATATTAAAGTACTTTTAATAAACTTAAGAATAAGGCAACAAACAACCCAATGTTTAAACTGGACAAAATATCTGGACACTGAAGTCATCTGTTTCACACAAATAAGATA